AAATCTCCCGTCCTTGCGACGCAGGTGCAGAGCTGACCCCCAGAGCGCCCAGGCCCGGCGGAGGTGAGAGGGGCTCCCAGCAAGAAGGCCAGCCCCTGGCTGCTATCGCCCAGGGGTGAATTCCACAAGCGTCGTTCATCTGTGCTCGAGAAACCAGCGCATGTGGTGGGGCCTCCGCTCAGACACCCACTCTGTCCCCGCTGTCCTGGTTCCCACCGTGGCCCCTGTCATTCACGCCCCATGCCCCCCACTTCAGACACTAACTCTGCGTGCAGACCACCCTGTCCCCACGCAGCTGCGTCCCAGGAGAGGGTCCTCGACTACCTGCCCCGGCCCACCGTGCTGGCCCACCACTTCCTGGCTTGACCTTCAGCTGCTCGGTCAGCACACTCCACCGTGCACCTGCTGTGCGCTGGGACCAGGGATGGCTTGTTCCGCGTGGAGGCCGTCCCGAGCACAAACAGCAGGTGTGCAGGCCCTCCCTGGCCCCGTCACCTTATCCGTGGTCTCCTGCTGGCGGTGTGGGAACCCAGGGCAGGGGCGGTTTCTCCGTGCCGAAATGTGCTGTGGTGTCGCTGAGACGATTAACCCCATTAATCATCAACATTATCATCATTATTATCCTTCAACAAATAGTAGTCGTGTCTCTTTAAGAGGAAGCTTTTAGGGCAAAGACTTTGGACAATGCTCCTTAAGTAGACATCAAGATCATAGAATAAGTCAAACCCCGAAGACAAACACACCGGCATCACCCGGTTGGAGAACGTGCCTGAGCTCGGCCGCGATTTGCGGACACGCTGGTGCGGACGGGAGGGCTTGTGCGTCTCTGCCCCGCCACGGATCCGCTCTGAAATCCTGAAGTCTGAGCACAAAGCCCAAAAATGAGCCCTAACAGAGTGTGGCCGGAGTCTAGTGATGGGACTCTCCAAGGCGCACAGACGGTCCCTGGCCGGGCCCTGCCTGTGTCCTTCCCGGTCGGCCGCGTGACGCTTCCTCAGATGTATTTGATCAAAGCGCAAGCGGCAGTAAAATAGCTGAGTGGCAAAGTACTTGTCAAAAAGATCAGCTTGTAATTGAAATCTAAATTTAATTAAAGGGAGAAAAATACTTGCCACGTGCTTAATGAAATGAAGGGGGTCCGCGCATCGGGCCCAGAAGAGCGTGCCGCCCGCGCCTTCCAGAAAACGCAGCGCTCACGCCCCCGCCGCTGGTCCCGCCTTTGCAGATGAAGGACAGGAGGGCCGCGTGGACCCGCGACGGCCAGAACCTCCAGCGGTGTGTGCCAAGAGTCAGGCGGGAAGGGACCAAAGCGACTTACCGCCCGGCGTGTGCAGAACGTGCGGACGCAGCACCGGGCTGTGGGAGGGCTGCCCCCGCCACCGTGCGGACCCCACGGCGTTGACGGACTCTTTCCCGGGAAGCCGCCCGGAGGGCCGCGCTGCAGCCAGGAAGGGGCCACACCGAACGAACGCCTTCCATCCACAGAAACCTGCGCGGTGGTTCCAGTTGGTATTTGTGTTTCCTCCAGGCGTTTGCTGTGCTGCCCCGCTGGCCGCGAATGGGGGACAGGGAGAGCTGGGAGGACACAGTGGGCAAGGGCGACCTGGAAAAGGCAGGTGAATGTCATCCGCTACAGCAACTCATAAACACCCCTGGAGCCCTCGAGAAGCGCGGGGGCCAGGATGACCCCTCTGTCCTCTTGCCTAGAGCCAGAAGCCCCCCGTCCACACGGCCCCCGGCCCCACACGAAAGGGACGAGGATGCCTGCCATGCACGAACGAGGTTCCCTCCCCAGGGACGGAGGGGCCAGCTGGTGGGGCTGGGAGGGGACCCTGGGAGGCCCAGCGCTGTGCAGCCGGTCTGCCCCACACCCCCACTCCCAGGGAAGGGACGAAAGTGCAGGACCCCGGGATACGCCCATCAGCGTCGGCTTGCCTCTTCCGTCATCCCCACAGAACCACGGTCCTGGGGGCTCCGGGTCCAGTCCAGGGGAAGCAGGAGCTAGTGAGCAGGAGCCTGGCCGGTGCCCCTGCGGTGGGCCCAGCCAGCGTCGGCGTCCCCCTCGGCCGGGCAGGCGTCCACTCCCGGGTCTGGGGTGGTGGCCGGGCATGTCCCGCAGGAGTGTCTCTGCAGGAGACACCCAGTCCCCGCCCGGATGCCCGGCCCGTGCACACGGCCGTCGGAAGTGCCATGGGGCTCCACAAAGCGAGGAAGATGCTTGAGAACCAGCAGGACACGGCGGGTGGGGGCGGGGGGGGCGCATCTGTGCCGGTTCCAGGGCCCCGTCAGCGCCAGAGGAGCCTCAGCCTCGCTTGGGGCTCACACAGGGTGTGGCGTGTGCACGGCCCCGCGGAGGGGAGCCCTGAGCCCCAGGTGCCTGCCCGGCCCGCTCGGCCACGGCGCGTCCTCGTGCCCCTGACTCTTTCCGGCAGCGTCCGAGCCGCTCCCGACTCGCACACAGACCACGCTCACCGTCCCCTCCCTCCCCGCAGCCCCCACTGCCCCGTCGTCCCGAGGATGTGCTTCCCGCCTCCCCCGGCCCCCGCTCTGCTCTCGTGCACCAGAACAGCACGAATGAGGGGCCTGTAATCTTAGGCCTTCGCTTTGGGGACTTTTCAGCAGGAACGTCCTACCCACCGGCGACCTGAGCGCGCAGGATGGTCGGTCGAAGGGGCGGGAGTGTGCGAGGCCAGGGCGCCCTGCGCACACGTCCGTCCGAGTCACAGGAACCCGCACGAGCCCGGGCCGTCTGCAAGCAGCTGGCACGGGAGCCCAGGGGAGCCCGGGAGGGAGCTGAGGAGCGGAGCCTCGTCGGCCCGTCCACGGAACACGGCTTCGTGCAGCGGCGGGAGGGCCGCGTCCGAGGCAGCAGGCAGCGAGCCCAGAGCAGGCCGCAAACCGCAAAGCTACCCTCGGAACACAGGAAGCCCCTTCAGCGGAGGGAAGGTGCGTCTGGGGCGCCCGCTGCCGGGGCGGGGGGAGGGGAGGCCGTGAGGCCTGCAGGGCGCAGACGCTGGCAGGAGCCTGTCTGTGGGCCACACGGCCCCCAGGCTGTGCCCCCCAACCAGCCACGTGCAACCGGTGCGGGGCCGCGGGCGGCTCCGCGGCCACAGCGGCCAAACCCACGCGGTCAGTGTGGCGAACGGAGAGGTCTTTCCGATGCGCCAAGAAGACCAGTCCCTCGAGGAAGCTGACACTTGAAATCCCCGTGCAACGGCCCTTCCGGCGCTTTCCTCCCCTGCTGCCCCCGCTCCCAGGCCTGGTCCTGACGAATCCGTCTCAAGTTCAGGGAGGTAACTTTGATTCTTGATACGGGTCAAGAGCAGGAGGCAGGGAAGCAGATTTCGGAGGCCCCCGGCCACCGGGGCCTGCTCTGTCCGCGGCGGGTGCTGGGCCCCCGCCCTTCTGTGCTCGAGGGCGCAGCCGCCTTCCCGTGAAGACAGCCTTTCCGTCCAGGCTCCCCCCGGAGGGCGACCCACACGTGCGTAGAACGGACGTCTTCTTCAGTCAAAATGAATCCTATTCTATTTCCAGAAGGCTGCTTCTCGTTAAGGAAACCATTGTAATTAAGAATTTTAAAATGCAAGAAATGTAAAACTCAGAAGTCCAATTGGGGCTGCAAGGTAATTATTAGCTTTCTGATTATAACTGTGTCTTACCTTTAATCCTGTCCACTTGGTCATGAGTGTTATTACCACCATCGCTGGAGTCTGATGTTAAACACACGTTTCCATTGGCTAAAACGGCAATTGGCTAAGCTACCTCCTTTCCCTGTCCACTTGACCACAAATGAGCCCAGGAAGGAGCCCTACACACAGCAGAATATCAGCTGCAAAAAAAGGGTCCTAAAAATGTGGTCTTCGTGGGGCGAGGGCAGGAGCGGGGCCCCTGGCCCCGGGGATCCAGAGCGAGGGTGGGGAGGGGCAGCCCTCCACTACCTTAGGGAAAGTGGGCTCCTTCCAGACAGACCGTCATTGCTGACCTTGAGATCAGCTGGCCCCCCCTTGGCTCCGATGTCCGCTCTGCGCCCGAGCTGGTCGGACAGGGGTCCCGGGAGGCGAGTGTGAAAACCGCTCTCTGCACAAGTGCTGCCAGGTGTCCGGGCTCAGCCTGTCCTGCCGGAGCCGTGGCGGTGAGCTCAGCGGGGGGCACGGGCAAGGGCGCGGCAGATGATGACAGCCGATGTGCGGCGGAAGGCATTCACCCCACGCCACTCCCCTGCAATTACAACTTTGCAGCCGATGCCCCGCCCTGACGGGCTCCGTCCCGCCTGCCCCGTGGCACCGTGGCACTTGCTTCGTTCTCAAGAGCGTGTAGGGGACGGTGAGCGTGCGGACGTCGGGCGGCAGGGACGGATATCCCACAGGAAGCCGGCAGGGGCACGGGGCAGGCGGGGCCACACCTGCTGGAGCCAGGCTTCCAGGCGCCCACAGTGCGCGTGTGCAGGGGGAGGCGGCTGAGGAGAGCCCGGGAAGCACCTGCCGGGCCCACCGCGATGCCCACGGCGGCCACTGACCGCACCTCAACCAAGTCTGCACCGTGTGGCCTGAGAGCCGGGCGCCAAAACCCGGAAACAGAGCCACCCCCTCCCCCTCCCTCCTCCCCCTCGGGTCTCCCGAACACTCTCTCCCACAGGCTCCTGGGACACGAGGGCAACGGCCACGACATCTCGTCCTTCCTCTACCCACCACGCGACCCGCGGGCATCCTGCCGCACGGTGGACACGGAGGGACGCCGCGGCGTATGGAGAAGCTACAGGCGCACGGCTCGCGGCACAACCAGGACGTCCTGAACATCGTGGGCACCGGGCCACCCAGGACTGCTCTGCCCACGTACAGCCCGAGCCACGGAACGCTCCTGAGAAAATCCCCACAAAACGCGAGGCTCGGAGCCCCATATCTGAGAGACGAATCACCTAATCACGTTACAGGAAAGTCGGCACGTCCCATTTAGTAACCCATTTAAAATAATTTATTTAAGCTTCGAGAATCACACCTTACCGTAATTTAACGCGTAAGTGGCTGTGACGCGTGCTGCAATTCCGCGTGCGTATCCAGAGCGTGAGAAAGGGAGCGTGAGTTTTTGGGAAAACTTGTCTCGGCTCATGCTGTTCTGTGGGTTAGTTGGTCCATCCGTGACACGGTGTGGCGGCACAGCCCCCATGTCGTGTCACCGTGGCCCTGCCAGGGGGCAGCTGAGCTGTTCGGAGAAGGGCCCGGAGCACAAGCAGGGTCCTCAAAGCCTCCCGTGTGTCTGCACCTGAGCAGACGGCCATTAGTAGGAAATGCTTTCCTGTTTGCGGGAGCATCGTCGCCGCATAATCACCTGTGGCTCCTGAACGTGGGGACATGTTTACAATCGCCGAGCGGTTGGAACAGGAGACCAGCCACCAACGTGACACAGCTCCGTGGAGTATACAAATGCACACATAAGAAGGCTTGCGCGGGAGCACCGAACTCTGAGTGGCGTCACTTCCTTTTCGAGACCTGCTCACGCAGGCACCCAGCACCTCCCCCTCGCAAGCGCCCTCCGGTTTGAGAAAAACCCTTGGGATTTCTGCCTCACTGAGAAAGACTCATCAGGACTCTGTCGCTTAACAGATGGACACGAGCACCCTTCTTTTTGTCTCAAGAGTGAGCAGTGTCCACCTTCCGGCCGTGACTGTGACCCACGGCGCTCCGCCTGTCACCTGTCAGGGCCGGGGCATGCTGGGAAGGAAGAGACCCCAGAAAGGGGCAGCTGTGGGGTCTCGAGGTGGGGTTAGGGATGAACCGTCAGAGGGGGAGCGTCCCAGCTCCGCAAGGGGTTCTGGGGTCCCTGCCTGTGCCGGGCCACCGTGTGCGAGGGACGGTTGGCTCCGGGTCGCCAGCCACGTGTCCCCAGGCTTTGCTTCCCTGCTCGAGCACAAGAGGGTTCACAGCTGAACAGAAAGGGAACAGAGCTTCCTCTTCCTCCTTTGAGCACGGTGCGCTCAAAATCCCACCAGCCAGGTCGGCGGCACAGGGACAGAGGGGACTCCTGGAATCAGGGTTGGGTGGCCGGCCCGCATCCTCTGGCCGCGGTCTGCGCAAATCCCAGGCAGATTTAGAAAGCGATGCGTGAGGAGATAGCCTGGTTTGGTTCCTGTAAAGCAGTGAAGACTGTCCGATGACACCGTCACTCTTAGGGGAAACGAATGGTGATTGCTGTCTAGACATTTTATTACGACAGCCAGGCATCGGCCATTGGCCACCTCCTGCTTTCCACGCGAAGCACTCAGCCGGCCTGAATTGCTCATTTCAGAAGAGCACAGCCCAGGCTCAGAGCGGCAGGGAGCTGGGACCCCTGGGCCCCCTCCTCATACTCTGGCGGGGGGGCCCCCACGGTCTGCCTCAGGGCCCCGGGCACAAAACCCTCTTGTGTTGACCTGGTTGTTAGATGCGGACTAGCCCCTGGGACTGTGAGCAGAACCCACCAAGCATGTCACTTGTCTTCAGCTTTGACACTCGTGTCCTCTCATTATCGTCACCAGAGTTTTGTCCAGAGACCGCTTTCAACCGCTTTCCAAGCTGTGCCTCCTTCGGGGTTTGAGACGCGCTGTGGGGACCAGGGACTGAAGGGGCCCCCGCTTCCTGCTAATGCTGGGCCGGACGGAGCTGACGCCCTGGGAGGGCCTGAGCGCCTCGGGGCAAAGCCACCAAAGCCACCGCCAGCTGTCCCCTTGTGCCTCGCCACAGGCTCCTCCTATCCCCTTGAATTGCAGCGGGTGGGAAGGGCCAGAGGGAGAGCCCCTGGAGGCTAGTGGCCGACACGTCCTACAGAAATTACAGGGGGGGGGAAACAGGGGCACCTGGGTGGCTCAGCTGGTTAAGCGTCCGCCTCTTGATTTCAGCTCAGGTCTGACCTCACGGTTCACGGGATTGAGCCCTGAGTCAGACTCTGACCTGACGGTGAGGGCCTTCTTGGGATTCTCTCTCTCTCCCTCTCCATGCCCTTTACCTCCTCAAAATAAGTAAATAGAAACTTTAAGAAAAAAAAAGGGTGGGGGAGTGCCTGGGTGGCTCAGTCGGTTAAGCCTCCGACTTCAGCTCGGTCGTGATCTCACTGCTCATGGGTTCGAGCCCCGCGACGGGCTCTGTGCAGACAGCTCAGCCTGGACCCTGCTTCAGATGCTGTGTCTCCCTCTCTCTCTGCCTCTCCCCCGCTGGTGCTCTGCCTCTCTCTGCCTCTCAAAAACAAAATAAATGTAACAAAAATAAGAAAAAGAAAAAGGAATTACGGAGGAGACGTTCCAGAGCCGCGCACACGGTGTTACGGGGGCTCTACTCTGTCCCCACGGCCACCTGAGGCCGGCAAATAGCGAGCAAGTTGCAGGAGCGGCCCTGGGAGAAAGTACAGCGTGACCCAGAAGTGTTTGGTCTGCACGTACGTGGTGGTTCCGTGGTCGCTTCCCAGTCCCGTGGCCCGTGACAGAGCCTCGGGACAGGCCCCCGGCCCAGCTCTGAGCCTCGGGACGGGGGTGCCTTTCCCCCCGCCCCCCCCCCCACCCGGGTTCCCGGGCACACGCACCTCAGGGCTTCCCTTCGGCCCCGCCCCCCACACCCTGCACACCAGCCCGGAGGAGCCCCCAGCCCGGCGCCTGGACTGTCCTCGGGGCGGAGGGGTCGCCTCCGGCCGGGCCACAGCTGCTGAAGCGACTTCGCAACCAGCTGGGCCGTTCTGTGTCCGCACCCCTGAGCGCACGTTCCCTCCGCCGCTTAAAAAGCCAGCGCGGCGGCTGTGAGCCCACCGGCCCGCGCGGGCACTGGCGCTCGGGGCCGCCTTCGAGAACGACCAAAGCGGGGTCCTGTCGGGGCCCTGCTCACGTCATCGGCAACCCCCGAAGCCCTGCCCCCCCCCCCCCCACGGGGGGGAGGGGGGGGAGGGAGCCAAGCCCCCCCCCCCCCCCGAGCGGGGCATCCTGGCCCCACCTGCTCCTCCCGGACACCGACGCCCCAAGCGGCGCCCCCTGGCGGGATCCCGCGGGCTGGGGCTCCCTGTGACCTCGGGCACACGTGCACCGCCTCGCTCTTTGGAAGAAAACCCGAGGTTCTGTGTCCCAAGCACCAGAGTTCCGTCCCGTGAAGGCAAGACGCGCTCGGGGCTGTCTCAGCGTGTCCGGGGCCACGTTCACCAGCCGCCCCGGCGGTGGGGGGGCCGGGGCTCCACTGACCCGCGGAGGAGCCCGCCTAGAAGCCCGTCCGTCCGTGTGCCGTGGCGGGAAGATGCCCAAGCGTGTGGAGGGACGCACCTCCCCTCCCCGGGCCGTGGCAGCGCGAGGCTGTCCGCAGCCGGCAGTGGACACGGCAGAGGAAGGTAGATCCACGGGGGTCGGCCCCGGCACAGGCCATACGGAAGACCCACGAGCGGGGGCGCGTGTAGAGTCTGAAAGCGCTAAGGAGGGCAAAGATCTTCAATAATCAAAGGAACGTGCTCTTGTTTGGACGCGTTTCTCGTCTCTGACAGTTTTATTGAGATACAACTTACACGCCATACAGGAGCTTAACGTGCCCAATTCGGCGTCTTTCCAAATTCTCAGAGTTATGCAGCCACCGCTAACTGCCGATGCTGGAATGTTCTCACCCTGAGAAGAAAGCGTGTGCCCCCCCTCCCCCGCCCCCGCCGGGTGACCACTGATAGACTTTCCGTGTCCGGATTCGCTCTGCTGTGCATTTTACAGAAATGCTACCGGACCACATGTGGACTCTTCCTGAGCAGGACGTGTTTGACGCCATCCGGGCTGCAGCGCCTGTAGGCTCCTCGCTCCTTTCGTGGCCGGATGGCAGTCCGCCGTGCGGACGTGCGTTTGCTTCTGTGCTCATTGGCTGGGCCCTGCCTGGCAGTCGTTTCTACTTCCCCACACTTGTGCACGATGCCGCCCTGACCTCGCACAAGCCCGGCGTGGACGCCTCTGCACCGGGGAGCGGGGCCACTGGGCCACGTGGTGACTCTGTGTGTAGCATTTGGGGAAGCCTGTCCAGCTCCAGACCTTCTCAGAGCCCCCCGGCCTCTCCCTGCCTCATTATCTGGGCCAGCAAAGCTGTCACCTGCGACTTTTGTCCTGGTCTGCACGTTGCAAAGCCCCCGCAACACTCCAGTTCCGCCCTGCAAAGTCCCCAAGTGTTCGGAGCACAAGTCCCAATTAACCCGAGTTAGCACAAGTGTGGCTACAAGGGACCCGGACAATGGGTGTTGTTTTATTTCCTAATCCACGGAGGGTCCCGAGAAGGGCCTCGGTCTGAAATGACCTAAGAGGCACTTGTCCCAGAGGCTAACTTGAAGCATCTCAGTGACGCGAGAGCTTTTTATCCCAATGCTTTGTGCATTCCTTTTATGCATAATCTGCTCCTAACAAGGTACCTGCTTTTGCTAATTCCTTTCTTCTAAAAAAAGCAACGGGAAAGTGTAGATGTTTACCATTCTTGTTTGCATGCCACAAAGAAAACTTACTTTTCAACAAAGGAAAGACGAAAAGAAATGTGTTAACTCCACCCTAACAGTACAATTTGTAAGACCAGTGACCCAGGTCTGAGACCGCAACGCTTCTGTCAACTGCCTTGGTGCTCACAGCTTTGCAAAAACACTTCCTCCCGCTTCGGGAGGCAGCGTCCGCTGAGCCCTGCCAGTGCCCCTCCCGTGGGCCGCGCCTGCCCTGCTCCCGTCAGGAGACACGGCTCAGCCACCGGGTGTCAGATTTTTGTGACCAAGTCAAGCAAGTGAGTGAATAAAATCATTGTGCAAGTAAGAGCCTCTGGTCCTGGGATGTTTTCGGTCACGGCCGCCAAGGAAAAGCCAGCCACGCACTGCCTCTGCCCAAGAATGTTCTCAGGAACTGGGGGAAGGGCACAGGCCACCGTGCATGTCCCCACAGGGACCCCGGGGGGCGAGGCCAGGACCCTCAGGGTGCTCCTGGTTCACGCTGGCCACGGCCCGCCTGTGTCCGTCTCCGGTGTCCCAGGTCTACAGAAGGAGCCGCGCTCTGCGTCCCTGGGCTCTGAATGCCCTGCGGCACGAGGCCACTGGACCCTCCTCGGCCGCCTTCGTTGGGCAGAGCTGCGCCTGATTGTCCACGTCTAAGCTCCGTGGCATGAGGACAGTGAAAGCTTCAGCCGATTCATGGCTCCTTCTTTCCTTGTCTCAAACCGAGGCATCATCAACTCCTCTTTTCTCCGGCCGCGTGAATCCGTCGGAGGGCAGAGGAACAGGAGACCGGGAGGCGCGGCCCGTGAGAGGTGCAAACACCCGGGGGCGTGCAGCTCCTCACCGGCCCCCACTCTGGCCACCTCCACCCGCGAGGCCCCTTGGAGACACCGAGGAAAGGGGGCCCTGTCCAGCCAGGCCTGCGGCCATCACGCACGAAAGCCAGCGCGGTCACAGGAG